GAATTCATCATTATTAAAACCAAATTAAGAAAATGGTTCCTATCAAAAATATAAGGAGAGAACTTAGCTCAATAAACACGAATGCCCGATGCAACCACATGGCGTTCCCTCTGGGACTTTCCCGCCTCCTTCACACCGATCTCGGATTGTAGGGCGCAGTCAGTCAAGTTTTCGTTCCTTGCTTCCATCGAAGTCCGATGAAGAGAGATTACAACAATGTCCGCTTTCATGACACGAGAGTTTTGACAATTTCGTCTGGAAAGACGACGCCAGCAATTCACATGCTCTCCATTCGGAATCGGAGGAGAAGAAAGAGCGAAAGGCCTTCTATTTAGTATTGTATATACACATGATATACTACACACACACGGTATACACACACACACGTGTACCACACACACCTACATATATCTATATATATTTGTAGTGTTCTGTGTTTGTGTTTGTTGTTACCATCTATAAATAGGTAATTCTTCACATACCTTCACATAACCGATCGGCGACGATTTTGGTTTGATGGATTCCTCTCTCTGCCATTAAAATAGAACGAAATTTAGGCCGTGTGAAAACCCCCCAAACCCCAAACATTTCTTGGCCCAATAGCAGGGGAGGGCATGAAAAGAATACATAGGAAATTTGCGCAGCACGTATTAAAGCAGGGTAGAGACACGACTAACTGTAACCTAGTCTATGTTACCCACATTTCCCTGGTACTGTTTCATTGCCTCTCCTGCGATCGATTAATTACACATATTGGGTTTCTGCGCCTAAAAACAAGATACATTGTCAGGTGCAGATATATTTTTAAAATGTTGTGTATCTTTATCTTTCAAAAGTTCAATGAGTTTCACGCATCTCATCATTGCATGTCATCTTCTTTATTACTGATAAGGGAAAAGGGCTGATAGTTTGCATTTGGAGTACCTCTCTTGTAGCGGTAACTGTTCCAGGCTGCACGTTTTTAAGCGAAGTGCTTTAGGCAATCAGAATTCCACCCATGGAAAACACATTTAGAGCGTATATGGGTCGTGAGGTTCGAGGGATAGCTGTATGTGCAGCTCTTAAGACTGTAGTTGTGAAACATTTACATTTCTGAAAAATGGAGGTGAGGAGGATGGGAGGGGTATGAATAGCAGAGGGAGTGAAGTGAAAGTATGCCAGTCGGCTCTATCAAAGCAACCAGCGTGGGGAGTTAGGAAGTGGTACGTATGAAGTAGGAGAAAGAGAGAACTGGAAAGTGGTCACTATAGGAAAGTGGTATAAGACTGACCAGTGAAACTATATGAGAGAATGGGAGCATAGAGGAGAGGTCAGTGCC